TAATAATTCATGATTACTATTTAATAATAATTAAGTTAGAAAATAAATACATAAATAATAAGATAATAATTTGTAAAATGAAAATACATATTTTAATTATTATGTAATTAATTAATTAAAAATTATTCATCAAAAAATAATTAAATTAATTTAGATAAATATTTATTAATAGAAAATAATAACTAATAGTTAACTATTAAGAAATTAAATATGATTAATCATTGATAATTAATTAATTAATTAACTAATATTAGTTAATGATTAATGAAAACATAGTTATTAGCTATTATTAGCTAATGACAATTAAACTAAATTTTTAATAATTTCACAAATAAATTACTAAAAAATTAGTTATAAAATATAAATAATTAAATATTAATTAATATTTATTTACTTAAAAATTAAGCATTTATTTAATAAATTAATACTTAATGAAGTAATAATTATCGGGGGGATTTTTATAGTTTTTTATTTTATTTTGGGTAACTTTTTCTATCTACACGTTTCAAAGTGCTAAAGTCACCTTACCTTTCTATTTTTGTTTAAAGTGCATTTTTGTCCTCAAATCTTAATTTTGTATATTAAAAATTTAAAAATTAATAAAAAAATATATGTTATTGTATAATATTACTATGCCATCCAGATTGAATGGACCAGAATGTGACAATTTAAAAAGTAACAATAAAATAAAATAAATAATTAAAATAAAAGGCCCAAAATCGTTGTTTGGGTTGAATAGGGCGACAGTTTGACTACTTGGGTCAACAGTTCAATGGTTTTGGGAAATTTTTTAGTTTTGAGCCAAAACGGAACTGACACCCCAACCAATTCCCAAGCTAAATGGTCTGACTATTCGAGTCAATGATGGTTTCAAAACCATGATATCATCTATTTTATATATAAATATTATAATATGATATTTATAATCTATATATGATATTTTATATTATATTCCATTTAATATAAAATATTAAAATATAATATAAAATATGTAGGCCGGAAATCAGGTCCATCCGATCCAGACCCTTGTAGGCCTAGGCCCAGGTTTATGTGCAAAGCTCAAAATCTAGGTTTATGTGCAAACCCTCTATTTGAAACATCATATCTTCCTTCTCTCTCTCTCTGTATATATATATATATATATATATATATATATATATATATATATATATTCCTTTATTCTCACTATTTCCCCTCTTTTCCTCGCCCCAACTAACCAAATCACTGAAATCACTTGGAGGATAGACCGTCTTCTTTCCATCAACACACCAAACAGAGACGGTGGTGCACTCCCCTCTGACCACTCTTCTCCCTCTCCTCTAATCCCCTTGATAGGTCCCAGTCAAAGCTAGTTGAGATATTCTACTTGAGGTGAGAATGAACCTTGTAGTATTTTGTTGGAATTTCGAACTACCCCTCTTTGTTAAGTGATAGAGTTTAAATACAAAGAGGACTCAACTACTTCCCTAAACAAAGGGAGTCACATGGCTGACTGACAAGAAAATAGCTAACAATAATGGACTTATCCTTCCTAACTGATTGACCTATTCCTATGCAAACAGAATAATAACATTATCCTTCCTAACCGATTGATCTATTCCTATGCAAATAGAATAACAGCAATAACATTATCCTTCCTAACCGATTGACCTATTCTTATGCAAACAAAATAACAACTAATGTAATCCCCTGGCCACGTCACTTGTTGCTTGCATGTCCCATGCAAGTGATGTTGCTCACTCCCCGTACCTCGGATTCCGGATAGGCACTCGGGTTGATCTTCTTGGCCTATCATTGCCCCCATCTTTCAGAGGAACCTTGTCCTCAAGGTTCAAGTTGATGTACTTGTTTCGCAGCTCCTAAGCATTTTCCTACATGGCATCTTCTTTGGAAGGTTTTTTCCACTAGACCAAGCTTTCTTCAATGAAACTTGATCCTTTCTTAACCCATCGAGTATCCAAAATGGCTTCAGGTTCCATGACAAGTTCACCATCATCGGTTATGGGCAGAAACTCAGTGCTAGTTGCAGTAGTCTCCCCTACTTGCCTTTTGAGCAGTGAAATATGGAAAACCGGGTGAATTCGAGAGCTTGCAGGTAGTTGTAGTTTGTAAGCTACTTTTCCAATTCTTTCTTCAATTTGGTATGGCCCATAAAAGTGACTAGCTAGCTTTTGATGTGCTCTCCTATGGACAGTTTACTTTCGATAAGGGTGGAGTTTAAGGAAGACCAAGTCTCCCACTTGGAATTCCACGTCCCTTCTTTTGGAATTGGCCATTTGTTTCATTCGATTAACTACTGCATGTAAATTGATTTTGAGCTGCTATAGAATGGCATTCCAAGATACCATGGTCTGGTCCACCTCTTCCACAGAAGATTCTCCAACTTGATAATTCAGAATACTTGGTGGTGGTCTCCCATAGAGAGCTTGAAAGGGTGTCATCCCAATAGAGGAATGGTATGCAGTGTTGTACCAAAACTCAGCCCATGGAAGGAAGGAGCTCCATTTTCGAGGTTGTTAAGAAACAAAATATCAAAGATATTGTTCAACACACCAGTTAACCACCTCGGATTGACCATCGGTTTGGGGATGATAGGCAGAGCTCATGTGCAGCTTAGTACCTGACATTTTGAAGAATTCCTGCCAAAAGTGACTTATGAAAATGGGATCTCTGTCACTAATGATTGACTTTGGCATGCCATGAAGCTTGAAAATCCCTTCCACAAACTTTTCAGCTACCAACTTTGTCATGTAGGGATGCGGCAAGGCCAAAAAATGGGATGATTTACTTAGGCGGTCTACCACCACAAAAATAGTGCTTTTGCCATTAGAGGGTGGTAACCCTTCTATAAAATCCAGGGTGATGTCATCCCATACTTGGCAAGGGACGGGTAATGGTTGGAGAAGACCCGCTGGAGATAAAGTATCTGCCTTATTCTTTTGGCAAACAGTGCAAGAGGCCACATATTGTTGAATCCCCTTATACATCGATGGCCAATAGAATTGTTGTGCCAAGCGCTTGTATGTTCTCAATACCCCGAAATGTCCCCCATACGGTGAATCATGGAATTCCTGCAATAGCTGATTGACGAGTTGGGAATTAGGAGGAATCACTACATGGTTTTTGTAACATACCAAGCCATTCCGCCATGTATAGGGAGCTCCCAGATTTTTAGTTGCAAGCTTGCCAATTCGGACCATGTAGGGATGTTTGCTGGCTTATTCTGGATTGCATTCCATAGAGAAGTTTGAGGGACAAAAAGAGTATTAAAGCTAGGACTGCCTATTACTCTTGACAAAGCATCAGCAGCAGAATTCTCCCTTCCCAGTTTGTAACTGATCTCATAGTCATACCCCAACAATTTGGACACCCACTTCTGTTCTTCAGGTGTCACAATGCGCTGCTCCATCAAATACTTGAGGCTGCATTGGTTGATGAGAATAAAATTTATCATATTTTTATCCCCTAATATTCTATCTTTTATACTGAATTAGTACTTATTTAGACTCATAATTCTTGTATTTCGGTGCAGGGCAAGGAAAGAAGTCGCAAGAAGGAAAACCAGGCTAATCGGATGGGTTTTCACAGTTTCGGCAGCAATCAGTAATCTAGGCCTAACTTCCATACCCGAGCTCCGGTCGGCCTACATCGAAGTCAAATCCGGGCCCGAAGACGGAGAAATTTTGTAGTGAGGCCCAGTTCCCAGCTGAAGCCCATTCGAGTAGAAAAACATTGAGGCGGCCCAAGTTATTAAAGCAGCCCATTCGAATTCAAGAATTCGAGAGTCCTCTTAGATTTAAATTTCTAAATGTAATTCCAGAAAGATTAAGAAAGGTTTAGATAATGAGAGAGGAGAGAAGATAGGATATGATAGGAGGAGTTTGGATCGAAGCTGGATTATCCATTCTTGAGATAACCCCAAGTAATTGTAAGCTATATGAGAGCTGGGCGCACCAACCCTAGGGGCATCACGAATTGCAGTGAGCTATCTATCAAGAAAAGAGAAAACAAATCAAGGAACTTGGGGAAGGTGATCTAGAATTCAAGAACCCTCAAGAAGAAGGTGGCAGCAAGAAGGGGAGATCCCAACACCATGGGTGAATTCATGAGTTCTTTCATTCCCTTTGTTTGCTTTAATTCTTTTATCATGAACTGATTTGTTTTTAGCTAGGGCTATGGAAATCCTAACCTTGTTAATGAATACATTTTTATCTTTATGATTTATCCAAGATTGTGATTTCCATACAGTTTATGAATTATTTTGCTTAATGCGATTAAGAGCTTGGCCACCTCTTAATTGATTTGGTTTATATGAATGAATCGAGAAAGGAATTCACATAATCGACTGAATAATTCATAGTGTGAATTGAATGRTATATAGAGATATATATACATGATTCATCTGAATTTAATGGTTTTCCTCAAACTTAATGCACTTCCATCTTGAGAACTCTACTCGAGAAATCGAAGGATTACCTGATGGGCATAGTTTTAGTATATCTCGAGAGAGAATATTAAATAAAATTGGAAAGACCTCAACTTATGGGAATGACAAATAATCTTAGTTAATCGAATCCTTCAATATTCATTACATTGGTTAGGTGGACCAAAAGCCCTAGCGATTTCATCCATTGCATATTCGGTTAGTGATCACTCACGCTTCTATTTTCTTTTTCTAGTTTTTATTAGTCCTTGTTCTTTCAAATCTGAATTGCGATTGTCCAAATAATTAGGGAAGACTGTGGTTTTATTACTTATTTTGTTAAATCCCCGTGGGAACGATATTTTTATACTACTTGATAACTAGTGCACTTGCTAGGTTTATATTCATAGCTATCAAGTTTTTGTCGCCGTTGCCGGGGATTTAATCCTAAAATAATATTAGAACTTGTTGACCTTGATTAATTTGGATTTTTATTTCTGCTTTTTATTATTTTATTTTGTTTACTTTTTTTTTAGTTTGTTCGATTTCTTGCTTTGTTCAGATTTGTTTTTAGTGCATGACACACACTAGACAAGAAGGACTAGCAAGATTCGCTCCTGAAATTGAGAGGACCCTTCGCTTATTGCAAAGGGCCAACAGAGGTAAAGCAAGAGAGGAGGTTGATATTGGCGAACCAGCAATAGAAATTGGGGAAGAAATGGCAGAAGCAAATCGCACCCTCCTAGACTATGCTTGTCCAACCATTGATGGGGCGACATCCAACATTTGCAAGCCTACAATTCAGGCCAACAATTTTGAAATCAAGCCTGCAATAATTCAAATAATTCAGACAAGTATTCAGTTTAGTGGGTTACCAAGTGATGACCCAATTGCACACATTGTTAACTTCTTAGAAATATGTGATACATTTAAACATAATGGAGTTAGTGATGATGCTATTAGGCTTAGATTATTTCCATTTTCATTGCGTGATAGAGCTAARGATTGGCTTAACTCACTCCCTGCAGGAAGTATCACCACTTGGAATGATCTAACCCTAAAAAAATTTGGCTAAATATTTCCCACCCTCTAAAACAACAAAGCTAATTAATGATATTACTACTTTTGCTCAATTTGAGAGGGAATCCTTGTATGAAGCATGGGAACGATCCAAGGAGATGCTTAGGAAGTGTCCTCACCATGGGATAACAACTTGGCGTCAAATTCATACTTTTTATAATGGTATTACCCTCTCTAATCGATCTATTATTGATGCAGCTGCAAGTGGCACAATCATGAGAAAAACATCGGAAGAAGCTTATGATGTAGTAGAGGAGATGGTATCGAATAGCTACCAATGGAGCAATGACCGAACCAATCAAAGGGGAGTACACCACATCAATTCCCTTGCAGCCCTATCTGCGCAAATTGCTAATCTGAATAAGAAACTTGACACCTTTAATATTGCAGCCATTAATGCATCATCTAGCATCTCATGCGATTCATGTGGTCAAATAGGACATACTAATTCTGATTGTCCATTAAGTAGCCCTTTTATTTCCCATGAGAATGCTAATTTTATCTCTTATGCTGGTAGACCAAATTTCAATCCCTACTCAAATACATACAACCCAGGGTGAAGGAATCATCCAAACTTTTCATGGAGCAACAATCAGCAAAAGGCTCCCATGGGATTCCAACCACAGCCGCCCCCGCAAGAAAAAAAGAGCAATTTGGAGGAGATGATTTCTAAGTTCATCAATACTGCTGAAGCAAAATTCCAAAGCCATGAAACATCGATTAAGAACTTAAAAGTTCAAGTGGGGCAGATTATAAGCACACTGTCGGAAAGAAAAGAGGGACGGCTACCCAACAACACAGAGAAGAATCCCAGAGAGCATGTGAACGCCATAGCCTTAAGAAGTGGGAAGACAGTCGGCGAAGCCCAAGAAGACGACAAGGAAGCTGAATTGGCCGATCTGCAAAAGGAGAATGAGAGAAGCACCCCTAAACTGAATTTAGATGAAATCAAGCTTCCTATTCCCTACACAAGAAGAGTCTTTAGGGATAAATTAGATAAGCAATTTGAAAAATTTTTGGAAGTATTTAAAAAGATCCATATTAACCTTCCTCTTCTTGATGTATTGTCACAGATGCCAAAGTATGCCAAATTCCTGAAGGAGGTGATGTCCAACAAAAGGAAGTGGGAGGATTGTGAGATGGTAAAGCTAAACGAAGAATGTTCAACCATTTTTCAAAATAAACTGCCTCCAAAACTAAAGGATCCAGGGAGTTTTTCTATACCTTGCACCATACCTTGCACCAGGGAGTTTTTCTATCTTCAAAAGACTTGGATTGCAGGAACTAACGTCTACAACTATTACCCTACAGTTGGCCAATCGAAGCATTAAATACCCTAGGGGAATAGTCGAAGATGTCTTAGTTAAAGTAGGGAATTTCATCATCCCTACTGATTTCATCATGTTGGATATGGAGGAGGATAGATCGATGCCATTAATTCTAGGGAGACCCTTTCTTGCTACTGGTAATGCCTTAATTGATGTACAAAAGGGTCAACTTACTCTTAGGATCAATGGTGAAGAAGTGATATTTAACGTTTTCCAAACCTTGAAGTATCCCAACACAAGAGAACATGAGATATATGCAATCAACTCTATTGATGTGGTGGCAGCCGGAATTAATTAATCAAAGTTAGATGACCCGTTTGAAATCTGTATTATTGATTCTTGTGATGATATGCAGGTCATGTAAAAGAGGCGATGAATTTTTTAGAGGCCGGCCAAGAAGAGTGCAAGCCAAGACAAGGGAGATTTCTACCATTAGATGGGCCAACCCCCTCTAAACAATTATTACCTTCCATCAAAGCACCTCCAGCTTTGGAACTTAAACTCCTACCCTCTAATTTAAAAAATATATTTTTGGGAGAAAGTTCCACCTTACCCGTGATTATCTCTGTTGATTTGATAGGTCTCTGGGAGGAAAAAATGGTGAGAGTGCTGAAACAGCACATACTAGCCATCGGATGAAGCATTGCTGACTTGAAAGGGATTAACCCCTTGGTATGCACACATAAGATTTTGATGGAGGAAGGCTGTAGTCCCAAGGCACAACCACAAAGGAGGCTGAACCCTAAAATGCAACAGGTAGTAAAGGCAGAAATACTGAAATGGCTTGAAGCAGGTATTATCTATCCGATTTCTGATTCATCATGGGTAAGTCCTATTCAAGTCGTACCAAAAAAGGGTGGGATTACTGTAATTATAAATGAAAATAATGAATCAACTCCCACAAGAACAATAACTGGTTGGAGGGTGTGCATAGACTATCGAAAGCTTAATGAGGCCACTAGGAAAGATCACTTCCCTCTATCATTTATTGATCAAATGATAGAGAGACTTGCAGGGCACGCATATTGTTGCTTCCTAGACGGCTACTCTGGGTATCTTCAAGTACCTATTGCACTTGAAGATCAGGAGAAGACCACTTTCACATGCCCATATGGAACATTTGCATTTAGGAGAATGTCATTTGGACTATGCAATGCGCCTGCTACTTTCCAACATTGTATGATGTCATTATTTAGTGATTTCATCGATGACTTCATGGAAGTCTTCATGGACAATTTCTCCATCTACGGATCATCATTCGATGACTGCTTGCATAACTTGGAAAAGGTACTTCAAAGATGTGAGGAGTCTAATCTTGTTTTGAACTGGGAAAAATGCCATTTCATGGTTAGGGAAGGAATCGTTCTAGGACATAAGGTAACCTCTAGGGGCATCGAAGTAGATAAAGCTAAAATAGAACTGATTGAAAAGCATTCTCCTCCTCAATCATTAAAAGATGTTAGGGGTTTTCTAGGACATGCAGGCTTTTATAGGCGATTCATTAAAGGTTTTTCTAAAATTGCCAGGCCCCTAATGAATCTATTAGTTAAAGATGTACCTTTCGAATTCAATGATGAATGTTTGCATGCATTCAATACTCTTAAGGAGAAGTTGGTTCAAGCACTGATTGTATCAGCTCCTGTATGGGGACTACCCTTCGAAATTATGTGTGATGCAAGTAATGATACTTTGGGCACAGTCTTAGGGCAAAGGCAGAATAAGAAATTTCATACCATTTACTATGCAAGTAGGACTATGAATGAAGCACAGAAAAATTATTCTACTACCAAAAAGGAACTACTTGCAATAGTGTTTGCTATCGAGAAATTCAGATCTTATTTGCTCTTATCTAAAGTCATCGTATTCACCGACCATGCTGCCTTGAGATATCTACTTGCTAAAAAAGATGCAAAACCTAGGTTGCTACGATGGATCCTACTTTTGCAAGAATTCGACCTAGAGATCAAGGATAAAAAGGGTAGTGAAAATACAGTAGTTGATCATCTATCAAGGCTGAATGAAAATTATGTTGAAAATATTGATAATTCAGCCTTACATGATGAGTTCCCAGATGAGCAACTACATGCGATTAATGGTAATAATGAACCTTGGTTTGCTGATTTGGCTAATTTCTTGGCAGGGAATGTGGTGCCTCTTCACCTGACATACCAGCAGAGAAAGAAATTTTTCTCTGATGTGAAGCGTTGGGACGAACCTTACCTATACAAAATCTGCAAGGACGGTTTGATAAGGAGATGTATTCCTGAAGAGGAAGTGCTAAGTGTGATAAAATTCTGCCATGACAAAGAAGCAGGAGGTCACCATGGAACATCAAGAACCGCTTCAAAAATCCTCCAAAGCAGTTTTTATTGGCCATCACTCTTCAAGGATGTTTTTGCATATGTAAGTGCTTGCGATCATTGCCAAAGGACAGGTAATATCTATCGACAAAATGCGATGCCCTTGAACAACATTCTTGTCTGCGAAATATTTGATGTATGGGGCATCGATTTCATGGGACCCTTTCCAAAATCTGTTAATAATTTTTATATACTTGTGGTTGTGGATTATGTGAGCAAATGGGTGGAAGCATGTGCATAACCTACTAATGATGCTCGAGTTGTCATTAAATTTATAAAGAAATTCATATTCACTCGTTTTGGAACACCTCGAGCCATCATAAGTGATGGGGGGAAGCACTTCTGCAATAAACAATTTGAGCAATTGTTAAACAAATATGGTGTTACACACCGAATTGCAACCCCTTACCACCCACAGACCAGTGGCCAAGTAGAAGTCTCTAATAGGGAACTAAAGCATATTTTAGAAAAAACGGTCACCACATCCAGGAGAGATTGGTCCTTGAAATTAGATGATGCACTTTGGGCTTACCGTACTGCATTTAAAACCCCAATCGGTATGTCTCCTTACCAATTAGTTTTCGGCAAAGCATGCCATCTACCCATTGAGTTGGAACATAAATCTTATTGGGCTACCAAATTTTTAAATTTTGATCTGAGCAATGCAGGTGATGCAAGGAAACTTCAACTCAACGAGCTAGAAGAATGGAGGAATCAGGCATATGAGAATGCCCACACTTACAAAGAAAAAACCAAAGCTTGGTATGACTCTCGTTTTGCAGGGAACGAATTCAAGGAAGGAGACAAGGTTTTGCTCTTTAATTATCGCCTCAAGCTATTTTCTGGGAAGTTGAAAACCAGGTGGAGCAGACCCTTTGTAGTGGCTAAGGTATTCCCTTATGGAGTAATTCAACTGCATAATGATGATGGGAGTACATTCAAGGTAAATGGGCAGCGGTTGAAGCATTATATTGAAGGAGAGCAACCCATCCACCATGGGTCCACTCTCTCCTTGAAACCGCCATGAAAGAAAGGTGAAAGTCAAGCTCACGACTTAAAAAGAGCGCTTGTGGAAGGCAACCCATTAGTCTAGTTGTTTGTTTTGTTCAGTTTTTTTTTTTTTTCTTATGAGTGTGTTTTTTCTCGTATCTCACATCTACAGGATCTCAACGAGGGAAGTCCCCTTAATTCTTTTTCTCCTTGTTCTTTTTATGCATAGTTCATACATTGAGGACAATGTATACCTTAAGTGTGTGGGGGGGGATTAAGGGGTTGATAAATTTTTTCTTCGATTAACTCTAGCATGCTTCAATCATCACTCTTTAACCTTTCCTTTCAAAATTTCTGCTCCCGAGAGACTTGTTTTTGAATGATTGCAAATCACCATGAATCATGTGCTTAGGTGAGATAGACAAGAAAGGATGCAAGCAAATYTARCTGAAATTTWTGGCTATRGAAGGTACCTCAGTAGTTGGAATGATCAACGAGCAAGATGCAATACAAATTTGACCCCTATGAGCATTTGGTTTATGACCGYCAAACATGGTTTGATTATTCTAGAACTTGCTTTAGTAGACATGTTGAGACCATGGTAGTGAGTTCAAAGATTGGTATGAAAATGGTGATGCCCTTTTTCGAAAAAAAAAGGGAAGAGGAGAAAAAATAAAGTGTAGTGTGAGATGGAGCAATGCACTTACACTAAAAGCATAAGTGTAGTGTGAGATGGAGCATAAAATGCACTCACACTAAAAACATAAGAAAAGGGTGTGATGGAGCATAAAATGAACTCATCCCTAGATCCCAAACCCCTTGTCACCTTTTGATGCAATGAACTMATGYTAGTKGTGGAGATGTGATRCATAAGCAAGCCTATAGTAATAACATTCCTTGTTTTGACTTATTCGAAAAAATATATATATTTTATTATGAGGGAATACTTTGACTATTGCTACATTTTGATTATGAAAACAATGAGTGCTTACTTTAGTCCTAAAATTGCTCATGCGACGAAATGTCTGCTCCCCTTGATTGTTGATTTCACTGGGGAACATGAGGATTGGCGATTTAAGATAATTTTTTGACAAGTTAAAGAGGAACAAGACATGGAAGAATGGAAGGATCATTAAATACTGGATCAAGGCATGCAAGAGGGTGAACATCCTGTGAAGAATGACCTCCAAAAATTTTAGTAGTTAGTCAGCTTGTCTTGTTTTAGTTTTGCTTCAGTTTTGTCTTGCCCGAGGACGGGCAAGAGTTTAAGTGTGGGAGGATTTGATGAAAATAAAATTTATCATATTTTTATCCCATAATATTCTGTCTTTTATACTGAATTAGTACTTAATTAGACTCATAATTCTTGTATTTCGGTGTAGGGCAAGGAAAGAAGTCGCAATAAGGAAAACAAGGCTAATCGGATGGGTTTTCACAATTTCAGTAGCGATCAGTAATCTGGGCCTAACTTTCATATCCAAACTCCGATTTGACTGATTCAAGATCCACTAGAAAGATAAGAGAGAAAGATAAAACTTTAATGTTTAGGGCTTTCACAGATTCGGCCTACATAGAAGTCAAATCCAGGCCTGAAGACGGAGAAATTTCGTAGTGAGGCTCAGTTCCTAGCTGAAGCCCATTTCGCAGAAAAACATTAAGGTGGCCCAAGTTATTAAAGCAGCCCATTTGAATTCAAGAATTAGAGAGTCCTCTTAGATTTAAATTTCTAAATGTAATTCCAAAATGATTAAGAAAGGTTTAGATAATGAGATAGGAGAGAAGATAGGATAGGATAGGAGGAGTTTGGATTAAGGCTGGATTATCCATTCTTGAGATAACCCCAAGTAATTGTAAGCTATATGAGAGTTGGGTGTACCAACCCTAGGGGCATCACGAATTGCAGTGAGCTATCTATCAAGAAAAGAGAAAACAAATCAAGGAACTTGGG